AATAGCAAAATTGGCCAGCAAACACAGATTGCTTGATTTAAAGATTGACAGGATCAAGATTGACCGCATCAATCCATAGTTTTTGTTCAGTTTTTTTTTTAAATTTATGTGCCATTGAGTTAGCAGATTTTTCTTACTTGATGATTCAAGGTTTCCGTGAGATTAAGTTTCAGTTAAGATCATTTTGAGTGAAATTTTTGAACGCACAATTGCTTGTTCAGATAATATGGGCTGGTTTGATAGCGTTGTCGATAGCGATAATCACGATGGCGTGGATTAGTACTGGTATGCCACCAATAGAATATTATGTATGGCTGGTCCAGATGCAGATTTATCCCAACAGACGTGTTGTACAGGTAAACTGGCTCACATTTCCTTTTTCTCCATACGAAGAGATGAACTAGTTTCATAAGAAAAATTATTTTTTTTGTGTGCATTTTGACTGTGAATGAATGATAACTGCTCTTCAATTCGAATTGGAAGAAAAAGTGTTGTGAATTAATCAAAAAAAAANTGTGAATGAATGATAACTGCTCTTCAATTCGAATTGGAAGAAAAAGTGTTGTGAATTAATCAAAAAAAAAGTTTATTGGCGAAAATAACATTGAAATGGTTAAGGTTCTTCATATGGATCATGAAGACGCGGGTGTACTCGAGAATCAGCTGGTGCAGAGGACTGCAACAATGCAACACAATATCACCGCTAATGTAATGACGACAACAAGTCAAGCAGTTACCAATAGCACTAATACGAATAGTGGCAATATAACTGAGCAATCACAAAATCAGTTATCAAATGCAGTCAGCAGTAATAATGATCAGCGTTCCGAGCCATCAGCGTATGTTATTTTGCTAACTCAGTCGTTTTTGTCATTATTTTGAGTTGTTTCATTTCATTTATATGGTGCATGATACATTTGTGTTATCGAGTTTGCTAGAACTACATGCAATCTGGTCACATTTGTGAGGAGGAGGAAGAGTAATATGGCCTCGTTTCGACTTTGGCTTCAATCTGCATGATACGAAATTTTTTCAGCCTTTATTAAGTGATGGAGATTTTTGGTCTGAATTCGTTCTGAGCTGAATTAAAACTGTGTTGATCAGGATCAAGCGAATGTGAATTAAAGCTATGAATTAGATATGAATTATTGAATTGATAATGAAATAATAAACAATTTGTTTGTTAAGTTGGTCAGTAGAGCAGTCATCGACAACACTACCAACAACACACCATTGGGAAGTTGAGCTAGGCAGCGCATCGTCATCGTCGTCGAACAGCGGCGACACCACTGAGAATTCATCAGATCGGTTACAACAAACTTTAAGGCGACGAGCACTGGCGGAGCAAAGTACAGGTGGTGTGGATAGTAATGTTCACAGTGAGAGCAGTCAATCGAGAAGATTATTGCTGTCAAGGGTGCGTGTACCCTTACAAGAGGAGCACTCAACAACATCAACACCTCAACACGAAAGTGAATATGACAGCAGTGCTCATGCTAACGATATCGATAGCTTATCTTCGGAAATTTTAGCAAGTTCCACGTCTCGAATTGAAGTTGTAGAACGCGTTCAGGACAGGACGACGACGACGACGACGACAACTGAGGCAGCTCAGGAGGAGCTAGGGCAAACTAATGATGGTGGCAGTGAAACTGAGGTGAGGCAACCGCAAAAGACATCAGCAGCGAATACGGGTGATATCCGAATGAATGGAGCTTCAAATGAAACGTCAACTTCTGCATTGATAGCAAATTCGTCAACAAACTTGGTCCAAGATAATACGCGAAGTACGAACAGTGAAAATGTCCCCGAAACGATTTTATCGGTTTCCGAGGGATTGCCGAACAGCAATGATAATAATGAAAAAGAAAGTGAAAAGCGAACTGCGAGGATTGCCGACGAAAATGCTAACGATAAGCTGAATAGTATAAATAATGATAAAGAGAAGGGTGCTGATGAGAGTTCGTCATCGATTATAAGATTGAAATTTTTGGACGACTCGCAAATGTTCGCAAATACAACGCTAGACGCTACAGTGGGACAGTTCAAGAGGTCAGTTTTCTGGTTTGTTTGTTTGTTGGTTTCTTGGATTTCGTTACATGGTTACTGAATGATATGGAGAAGAATTTGCAGGTGTTGCATCTTTTTGAGAAGAATAGTTTCTTTTCAGGCGGTACTTTCTGGAGCCGTTGGGAGCTGGCAAAGTGGTTCGCTTGATCTATCGAGGTCAACTACTACGTGACGATACGAGATCATTGCAAAGTTACGGACTGCATGATCAGTGCGTATTGCATTGTAATATCTCATCAACACCGTATGCACAAGCGAATAACAATAGCAATAATAATAATAATAGCAGTAATCAAATGAACCTCGGCGTGATCCCAAGAAATGCGTTCCAAGAAAGTTCTCTGCAATCCGCAACGGCTGCTGCGATAGCTGCCATAGCCGGTACGCAGTCGGTAAATGTGGGGGTTGTGGCAGAGCGAAGAACATCCCAGAATCAGGTACCAGC